CCTCCCCCAAATTACTCAACCTCTGCCACTCCCAAGGGGGTGGCGGGTGTTCGGATATCTTGATCACCGTAAGTGCCTGCCTACATCTGCGTGTCGTTCGCCTGTCTAGCACAATCTGATACGCTCGCTAGGTCGTAGGCGTCACGGGGGCGGGCAAAACCAGCTTCATCAAAAAAATAAAAAAAATAAAAAAAATAAAAAGAGAGACAGGGCGCCGCCAACTCGCACTACCCCACGGGCCCATGGGCGGGCAAATTACTCAACCCCGGCCACTCCGACGGGGGTGGCCCCCTCCCCCAAATTACTCAACCTCGGCCACTCCGAGGGGGGTGGTCGCCTCCCCCAAATTTGAGGGGGGGGGGCACCTTTCCCCGCGATAACGTCGGCGGCCCGGGGGGGGCAGCTCAATCTCGCACTTTACCCTCTATCTTGAGCATCTCTTTCCTGGGCGTGGTGTCGCACCGGCTGCTCCCGTTGCACGTCGTTGGGGTCGAAGCAAAGACAGGAAATACACGGCGCTTCCCGCACCGCCACCCCAAACATCAACAATTGTCGATCCCCTCACCAAGGTCCCCTCAAACAAATTGTCGAGAGGAACCACCCAAGGGACGAGCGAGCGGCACGTATCAACGTGTCCGATCTGGTTAACCACTGAGAGAGGGAGAGAGAGAGAGAGAGAGAGAGCGAGAGAGCGAGAGAGCGAGAAACAGCGCGACGCCCCGCAGCAACAACGGCAGCAGCAACAACAGCGGCAGCAACAACAGCGGCAGCAGCAACAACAACAGCGGCACTGGCTCTCAGATCTTCTTCCTGAAACTACCAGAAGGCGCTATTCGCCGTTTTATGGCGTCTATTACCTCCTAGACGCCCCCCCATTTCCCTGCTTCGACGACGACTCGGAGGACGTCAGCGCCGCGCTGGCCTCGCTCCCCAAGATCGCCGTCGATGTTTGCCGACCAGGATGTAGTCGCCCTCGGCGTCCAAGGACGGCATCTTACGTTGCCTAGGACGGCCGAGAGCAGCGGCGACAGCCAAGACGGGCCACGGAGTGGGCGCGGAGGAGGAGGAGGAGGAGGAGGAGGGCAGGGCCGGGAATGAGGAGATCGAGAACCAAATGAAGCGGGATCGATCGCACGGAGCAGCGCAATGAGATCAGGATGCTTCTTCCAGGCGCGTGGAAATTCGAGCCAGAATCTCCACGTATTAAGCAGACGGGTTAAATACGATGAGGACGTGAAACCAGTCAATTTATATGCCAGAAAAAGCCGATGCATCTGAGTACAACGACCAAGAGTTGGCCAAGATACAAGACAAGGATCATATATTCTACTCACAGGACTATGTGGCCAATAAGAGAAATTAGTCATCCGGTAACACATCTAGCAACGGTCCGCTATCCCAATGTCCAGCATAACAAAAACTCTCTCTCAAGGTTGGTGCATAGGTAATGCTAATCAAGAACCTAAATGCTAAGCTAGTCAATGGTATAGTAGGACAAATAGTAAAGTTCATGTACCTTCCTGAGCGCAAGGACAGTTCTTTTCACAAGCAAGGAGAGATGGGTGTCAGCGTGCCTGTGGTAAGGTTCAACTTGGCTGACAAAAGAATGTTCATACAACCCATAGACTCCTCTGTATGGGAATCCAGGCACACCGAGAACAGCCTCATATGCAGCCGTAAGCAAATACCACTAATACTTGCTTGGGCCATAACCATACACAAGTCACAGGGTCAGACAATACAACACCTTAGGATAGATATGAATGGCATATTTGAGTTCGGCCAGGCATACACAGCAGTAAGCAGGGCAGTGTCACCACATACACTGGAAGTAGTAAACTACCACCCTAATGGTGTACGAGTAGACCCTGAAACATTCGAGTTCTGCAAAGAGCACGACCTGTTCTGATTCACGGCATTACTTACTTTTAAAACTGATTATTTAAGCAACCTCGTTGCTTCAAGCACCGATTGGACCAGACACAATACCGTTACAATGCAGCAAAGCTATACAGACAACAACGCAGGTAATGCTGTACACACTAAGCCGCTATCCATACGCAGACATATAAAGGTGAACAATCATGTAAGTGTGGTAAATATATACGTGGATGGATCGTGCCTGGACAATGGAACAGACAGGGCTATAGCTGGGATGGGCATCCACATAGGTGACACAGAGGGTCTAGACGTGAGCGATGGTGTACCAAGTGAGCTAAAGCAGACCAATCAGGTTGCGGAGCTTACCGCCATAAGACGAGCTTGCGATATAGTGAAGCAGCAGAGGTGGACAAAATGTAGCCATACATACTGACTCTGCTTATAGCATCAACTGCCTTGGCATATGGTACGATAGCTGGAGAAACAGAGGATGGCTGACTACTAAGGGTACGACCCCGGAGAACCTTGATCTGATAAAGAGCACACATGGGATCATAGATAGCCTCAGGGAATCCAATGTGCGCGTAGAGCTGGTTGAGGTACGTGCCCATAGCACAGACGTTGGAAACAACAAAGCGAACAATCTTGCAGTAGCCGGGTCAACAGCTGCAAGGGTAAAGCTAGCGTTGGATGCCACAACCACAGCGATGAGGTTGCACACGGATCCTACTGACATAGCTGCATTCAGTGGCATGGCTGAGAAGATAAGTGGGATACTAGATAAGCACAAGACTGTTCTCGATGCGGCCTCTGTGAACAGCTACGCGGGTGATGCTAGCACTGTGCCAAGGCATATGCCAAGTATGGAATACACCAACACAGAACCTGATCCTAGGATATTGGCAGATGATAGCAGAATCAGTTTGCCAAAGATGGAAATTGAGCTGGGTATAGCCATACACATGATAGAAGAAGTGGGTTCAAGACTGGCTGTAGTAGAGAGTCGATTAGATAACATAGAGAGTAATCTAACGAATATGGCTAACGACTTTAACTCGTACTTCGGGAATGCTGGAATGAAATTGAATCAGGTATTGACAAGGGTTCGTGGACAATCTAGAGGAGCTCAACGAGCCACTGATGGACAAGTTGAACTATACAGTCAGGAAGAGACAGCTCTGGTCACTGAGAGACACTGGTGCATGCCTCAAGGTACGTGGCTCTGGTTGGAGCTACAACGGAGTACCGCTCCGGGGAAACATACACACAGCAGTGGATATGCTAGCTATGTCCTTTGGGTCACCACTAAGTGTACATTCTAATCACGCATGGATAGAGTCCATGGGGGCTAAAGATAGTACTTTCTCAATGGGAATATACACACAGCCTCTGGAGACCACAGCCGTTCCTGGAGTAAATGGCACAATACAGAACTGCCAATTAGTCGATCTGGCTACAGAAGGCGATAATGAGTATCCCGACGAGGAATACAGAAATGAGTTTATAGACACATACGATGGATTCCTATGTAGATTGTTCACGCCACATACTGCTGAAGCCGGTCGTGTGAGAAGAGTGTGTTCTAATATTTACGTGAGGATCCTATGAAATGCCATGATATCTCGGCTTCAACAGGGTATAAGCATAGCCTCGCGCTACGAAAATGGAACAAAGCAATAGATACTGTACTATATGGGTAAGTTTGTCAAGTGCACGTCTGGATCTATATATGCACTAAGAAATTACCTAGTATCGTCATCTTTCACCAGCCCACATAGTGCTACAATATACATTGATGTGGACACACGTTGTGCTATGGTAGGGATATCATCCGGTACACTAATGCGGCGTGACTCAAAAGAGATGCTAGTAGACACACTCTCCATGAAGAAGTCATCATGGCCTCGACGAGCCGAAAACCTGGCTCCACAGAGAAGTGACTCGACGCATCAAGCCCGTGCTCGAGCTGCAAGCCGAGAAGCATCTACAGGTTGTCCAGAAGGCAATGGACACGAAGGCCGTCGCCATTGTCCAAGACGTCAAGGTCCAGATCCTGCGAATGTGTTAGTGGACTAGACAATGTGCCTGTCTCACCCAGCTTCGAGGACGAGTCTGAAGAGAGCCGCCCGCCAAGCCCTAGTCCGTCGTCGGGGCTGATCGACTTTGACCAGATCCTCGAAGAGCTCAGAAACGAACCGCTCGTCCCTGGACTGTCCGATAACGCAGGAAGCCTTGGCTTGAATGCGTGCGTGCCGCAGGGCTTCCCTGGCGAGTCTTTCACTGACTCTGGCTACGTCTCCCATCCGTGGACGGTAGACGACAATGCCGGATATGAAGTCCAGGCCTACCACATATTGAACCACGCGAGCTCGTCCTCTTTTCTATTCCGTATCTATAATCATATCGGTATCATCTTGACTTTATGCCCATTCAAGCCGGCGTCCAGCCGTTATCCTTTACACTTATTCTTATTTTATTATATCGCAGACTTCTGGTTTAATGGCCTTTGGCTTTTCTTGGGATTAGTGCTTGTGCTTGGTGCGGATTGGAGGAACACTGGCCTGCAATTGCCAAGACTTGTTGGCTAAGCTATCTCAAATTTGGCAAAGATACATCTGTAACTTGAATAGCACCCGGATCATCCCCGCCACCCCATTCCTCGCCAGTGTGGGGAGGAGCTTTCTCTTTCTGGGGAAGAGTTTCGTGTCGGGCCGCTAATAGGCGGCGCTCCCTTCCTCGTCTCGCTTCGTATCGAGAGCAGCCGTCAAAAACAGGGAGAAGCTACCCTATGTTGAACACGGGGAGGTGCTAGCTAATATTTAACGAGGTTCTCGCCCTTGACTCAACCACGCTTCTTACAAAATAGGGAAATAATTTTATTTAATGCAATGCATCTGAACCTCGGGGTCCGAGTTTCGATCATTCATTTTGAGCAAAATTTAGAACCACGTCCAGTTAACAGGGGTACTACAGTTAGTTGCCCAGGGGCATACACACCTGGCTGGCAATGGCTCAAATGTCAGTTGGTCAGTCATGCGGCGTGGTTGAGGAGTTCTGGAAAACCGCGCCTCCTCCGGCTTGATGAGGTTAGATAAAAGCAGAGATTCTTATTAACAAATGGGCTGTTGGTCTAGAGGTATGATTCTCGCTTTGGGATCCCTACACCCACAAGTTCTTCTGCGAGAGGTCCCGGGTTCGATCCCCGGACAGCCCCATCACATGATTCCTTTTTTTTTTGGCTTTCCAACCCCTGGATTGCGGGTGGGATCAGCTCCGTTTCTTCCTGCATACCGGTTTCTTCAAAGGCCGAAACAACGTTGGCCTGCAGAGACTTTGCCAATGGGTAAACACTTTCCCAGACGGCACTTTCCCAAATGACAACTGCAGCGTGCTGCTCGTCAGCTTGCGCCCCAGGGCATTGGAGGGTATGACAACGATAGTAACGAAATATTGCAAACCGCCGGTCTTGGAAGCCTGCTAGTAGGTCAAGCTATAGTAGTTATAATAGTATGTTGGCTGACGTTACCTCTTTTGATATAGGTTGAGGCCCCGACGCTGTATGTATCTGTAGACCCAAAAGATTGCCAGACCGCCATTACTAAGATCGGTCTCTCGATGCTCCAAGAAGTCGACTCTGTTATGCCGAAGCCCGAATCCAAGGACTATATCGAGCTTCTCACGACCTCGTTGGGTACTGAAAAGAGAGGGACAGACCTTAAGTTCCTTCTATTCGGAGTGCTCGTCAGGAATAGCGAGGGCCAGGCGCCGTTCAACATTCTGTAGCCTTCGTTCGAGGACGCCTAGGAGGTGAGCAAACTATAGCTACTAAAGAAGCAAGGCCCAGACGATTATATCGGTTTATTCTCGTCCAATACATTCAGTACTCTTATAATGCTTGACTTCTGGAACCCCATCTACTCTTGGCGACGTGGTGTCCTGATATAGTACGTTCCTTAGACGGGCCATATAGAACGGGACAAACTACGATCTGGAGGCTCGGTTCATCTAGAACGTTACTAACTCGCCGGAAGCCAAGAACAAACTGGCCGATGGCCCCCGAGTTCCAGTCCCTACAGCTTCTCAAACTCAACCTTGCCACCTATTAGAGAAACATCGCCAAGTACTTCGCGGCTGTGGATAACTATGTGGACTACCTATCTCTCGCAGAATCACGCCGGCGTATCTACCGTTCCCTTAGATTGGTTCACCCATGCCGTACGCTCTTGGAACCAGGCCAGACAAACCGCCCATTGAGATGACAGCTAGCGGGAGGGTGCATATCTGCCCGCATGGTGCTTAATTTCTTGTGGTTGCTGGCAACTCTCTCTGGCCTGAATGGAACGAAGCACTTTGATGAGCCCTCAAAAAACACATATTAACAGCTACGACTCAAACCGGTCTTGTTAACGCTGTCGAGCTCTGTCCACAGCGATTTGAGATCTTATGCCACACTTTCCTAAAAGGGGTCTCCCAAAATGGATGCGGTAGCTGTCCTAGGCACTGGTATACGCTAGAATTCTCGCCACCGTTACGATAATTGCCGCCGCTGGGGACGACGCCTCCTTTGGTCTTCCAGGGGTGGGATTAACCACACGCGTGGAGCAGCCAGCTATTATCCTAAATGGAGAGACCTGAGTATCCTATTTCGAGTCTAAACCCGATAAAATCAGAAGATCGAAATGGTCCGAGAGAGGTTGGACGTATCGAGAAGGCCTATTTTCACGGCGACGTCTCTTCTTTGCTGAAGAACAAGCCTACTTCGAATGTAACAACACCTGTTGCCAAGAGACGATTGCCTATGATCTTCATAATCTGAAAGACATAGCCGATAACCCTTTGGGGCTCTTCACCGGTGGATTCAGCAATCATACAGATATTGTACTACGTATGCCTACCGGTATATTTGCTCTGGTTATTTGGTATGCTATCCGCATGGGGGAGGCGGAGGTGGAAGAAGCGGAGGGAGAGGCAGGCATCTAGGACTTCTTCGTCCCGAGGAGGGTAGGAATTACGAACCCTGTTAGGCTCTCGAAGACGAGCGATAGGAGCGGCCGCTACACTAGGCGGAACGTCTTATCGGCCGCGGAGTTCCTTTTCGAGTATGGTGACTACGATGGTGGGCTTGAAGGTCGACAACAACCATGGCTCCGAGAGATGGAGAATGCATTCCGCGTCTCCGCTTGTCGACTCATACCCGGCGGCGTCTTGGGTATAAAGCAGCGGATCGTAGGACGCTCGCTAAGTTATAGCTATACTTAGATACAGATATGGCCTTTTTTTTTGGGTCTCCTCCACTGGTGGAAAGACACCACAACAACAAAAACAATAGTAAAACCAGGGCGAACCTTGGCGGGCGCAAGCGCAAGGTCCCCTCACAAGAAGGTCAAAGCAATAAGAAAAAGGCACTACTGCGTGTAAAGCTATATTCTCTAATCCAACTATCTTACACGGCAGAGTCTTCCATTCCTTCTTACCGCTCTCGTTGCTTCTCGACCCTCCGTTTCGCTTAACCCTCCGTTCCCTCTCAATTCTCCCATCAAATCAATTCCTGGCCCTGCAGCGAGTCCAAATTACCAACCAGCTTCTCCAAACCCACCAGCATAGCCTCCAGGACAAATCAGCTACAGCTCACCCCAGCTCAGTATTGCGAATGAAAAAGGAAATTTCGTGCGCCCAGATTCGTCGTAGACAACCAGGCTGTTTTTTCTCCCTTTCTTACGCCCGGAATGCCCTCTAAATCCCTGCACTCCTTTTGCCCGGAATGCCTACCCTGTATACGGATTTCCGTGGGGATATTCAGTGATCTTGAGCCAAGGCTGCCGCGGTCTTCCTGTGGGACCCAAGAAAAGATGGCCGCTGGCGAGCAGTGCCACCACCGTCGGATAGAATTCAAGAGCATACCCCAGCGGGCCCCGCCCTCGCCCAGGAGCAGCAGCAGTAAGCCCAGAAGCAGCAAAATAAGATGCCAGCTTCTTGAAGAGCCCAGTGCCGCTGCCAATAGGGAGGCTCCCTGAGGTACGGTGTAGGTAGAAAGCCTCAATGTCGACAGCCAAGGCTGAGAGGCTTGCTGGAATTTTAGCAGCCTTCTTCTTCATGCTCTTGCCCTGCTTCTCCGTTTCGTGCGTTTCGAATGGCCATGCCCCGCCCGCCTGGTTCTCAAGCGTCGTCGGCAGCGGTTCCCATATCATGGACCAAGGAGGATTTGCAGAATCTTCAGTACTGGGCCGACAACATGACCCATCCCGTCCTGTTATCTGCTCTGCTCGTGCCGGAGAGGTCCCCCACGGACCACCGGGTATGGCGACGGCGAACTGTTCTTCGCCTTCCCCTTCCTCGCCTTCGACAGATTCGTCAGCCGCTTGTAGCACTGGGTGTGCAGCCTGGGTCTTGTGATCATTCCTTGGGTAGGGCGGAAGAGAAATTGATGTTAGGCCGGCATCAGAGTAGACGATAGAACAGCGCGGCGAGGTGGACGGGCGACAGCAGCATCGACAGCGTCACGGCGTCGTGGCAGCAGAAGCGGGCCGTTGATGGCGATTTCCCAGGTTCGAGTTCGAGCCGTTCTCGGCGACTCGAGCGCGCAGCGACCTGTCTCTAATCTAGGGCAGACCGAAGAGAGACGGAAGCGGGGGAAACCTGCGACGGGCGGTAGTGCTGGAAAAGACGAAGGCGGATGTAAATCGAGGGCAAAGAGTGTCGCAGGAATGCATGCGTCCGTAGGAGCGAGAACTGGTAAATGGAAGGCCGTCTCGGACTATTGCATTGGATGTTATATGTGACTGGTGATCGATCGGCGAATGTGCTCTGGTGTGAGAAGGAAAGGGCGAGACTCTGGGGCGGTGGGAGGAGTCTCCAAGATCTGCGAGAAATGTGTGGATTTTTCGCCGGGTTTATGCTTGGAGACCGGAGAGGTTAATGACGGGGGAGGGGTGCGAGAGTCTGGGCTTATCTCTAAATTCAGATAAGGGGAAAGGGAAAGGGAAAAGGGAAAGTGTGTTTCCAACCCATGTTGTGTGTTGGGCCGGCGGGGCGGGGCTGTTTGCTGCCGAGAGCTACCTAGAGTTTGATGCCTGCTGACGTGGCCTTGGCCTTGCCCACAATTTCTTGTGCTTCTTATTTGATGCTATTCCGACCGTCGGATCAGCGCTGAAGTCAACGCCACCTCGGCCTTGCCCTCAATTTCTTATGCTTCTTATAATGCCAAACTTGCATCGCGTTAGTGGTGGCCTCGGCCTCGAACAGGCTCCAGGGTATCGACTGAAGGGCATCGAATCGAGTCTGAGCTTATCTCTAAATTCATATAGGGAAAGTGCGTTCCAACCCATGTTGTGTGTTGGGCCGGCGGGGCGAGGCTGTTTGCTGCCGAGAACTACCTGGAGCTTGCTGCCTGCGACGCGGCCTTGGCCTTGCCCATACTTTCTTGTGCTTCTTGCTTCTTGTTGATGCTGTTCCATTATGCTCTGCATCTTCGGAAATTACCCAGACGACTCGATCATGCGACGAGCTAATCGCCTGATCTCGACGATTCGTTAATGCTGTTCCGACCGTCGGATCAGCGCTGAAGTCAACGCCACCTCGGCCTTGCTCTCAATTTCTTGGGTGGCCTCGATGCCTGCACTCGCTCAACATCGTGCATCGGCTTTCACAACCGCGGGGCTGTTTGCTACCCAGAGCTACCTGAGCTTGCTGCCTGCGACGGTGGCCTCGTCTTGCATGATCTCGACGATTTGTTGATGCTGTTCCTGTTCCTTGGCGAGGGAACTTGAACTTGCATTACCGCCTTAAATCCTCAGTCGTGACGAGTTCACGAGTTCCGAAGCTTCTAACGGGTTGTTTTGCGAGGTGCCTTCGCGCAAGATATCGCAGAAAAGAGTTGGGAGACACGAGAGGCCAATATTACATTGGCTGCTCCGGGCCGTTGTCCTGGTCACGGAGCGGCCAATATTACGTTGGCTGCTCCGGGCCGTTGTCCTGGCGGAGGTTGCAGTGCTGAGCCGGATCCTGAGGAGGAGGAGGGGAAGCCTACTGCTTGCTGGCCGAAGGAAAAAGAGTAATTACTCTTCTTTTTTCTCCAGCTATCACCCTAACTAACCTTTTTGCTCAGGTACGACGACGAGACGATAACTTCATGACTCCGACACCATCGATATGTTATATTGCCGCCCTCTTTCCCCCTTGCCGATGGAAGCATCGTTCTTCCTACGTATGCCGGGG